GTATTTTTTTTTTTATTAGGTTCAATCTTTCTTATTAATAATTATTGACACATAATATGATAAATAAAATAAAGTTTTGTTAACGAGTGTCTTTAGAACACTTATTAGTAATTGTTTGGAATGTGTTATATAAGTGTACTTTTTAATTTTTTGGTTAAAAGAAGAGAAAAAAATATGTAAGTTTGGAATAACTTTTTGATTTTTTACGAAAAGATGTGTAATAAAATATTATAATAAAATCAAAATAACAATTTTATCCTTTTATTTTTTGACTTTTTGGGTAGTTGAATTTAAAGGGAAATATAATAATTTTGTCTTAGTGGCTTCCCCCCACAAGCTACCCTTAAATAGTATAGACTTAACTTTTTTAATAATTTTTTGACCTTTAATTTTTTTAGTTTATCCCAAACAAAATCTTAATAAGAAACTTGACATACTTGTACATAATGTATGAGGGTGTATATAATATGTAATGTATAATTAATTTAAACATTATTAATAATACGCTTAAGGCACTCGTTAATCAAATATAATAAAATATGGTAAAAAAATATGATATATTTTCAATTTTGAAAAGGAGATAATAGAGATGAAAACTGAAAAACTACGGAGAGAGGACACGTGGGTGAGATCGTGATCGTTTAATTTGATGAGGTTGAGTTGTAAGGATCGTGCTTAAACGTGGGTTAAGGAATATAATAACGGGTATATATGGGTTTGGAAAAGTACTAATAATGATTTCCCATTAAACAACACCAAAAAATCAGACTGACAAATAAATAAGAAAAAAATAGCACAATTCCCGAGAACAAAAATAATTTAGAGAGAGAAATGAGGAATCAGGCTGTAAACTTGTACACTTGCTAAATCGATTCTTTAGGGGTTGAATTTATTGATCTAATTATTAGTTTATCTCTTAATTACATGTAGTTTACTTCATTAATTGTGAGTCTTTAGAGAATTACTTTTATCTCCTTCAAAACCTACAATTTGTGAGTTAATTTATTGCTATTGCACATGGTCGATAATTTTTAACTATATTTAAAAGAAAATGTTATGAATTTCAAATAAATTATCAATTTTTTTACCAAACTCTTTACATGGGTATGAGATTCAAACAAATCACATATATGTAAGTCTCAAATCTATGTGAGAAATTTAGTAAAAAATTTGATAATTTGTTGGGGATCTCTAATATAACTCTGTCTAAATTTCAATGCCAAGATATATTTTTTATCTCATATTTATACATTTTGTGTTTGAAATTTTTTGTAGACATAACAATTATTTTCTGTCTTAAATCAAATGAACAGAACCAAAAGCTTCTTATATTTTCTTTACCAATCCCAAATAAAAGAAAAGGCCCTAGAAAATCAAGAGATTGTTGGTGTTACACCTAAAAATGTTGAGATGAAGTTTGACTACAAGTAATGTGGATTTTTTTCTCTTCAAAATGATATAGTAACCAATTGAATTAGCCTAGTTGCTTATTTCTATACATTCTCAATTGAGTGGTTAAGAAGTCTTGAAACAACATTTGATTATTTGTCATTCATTGTGAGATTTTTTATTTGTTGTATTCAGTTCTTTATTTCCTCCTTTTATGGTCTATTTTTTGTGATGGCTATTGGATTTTTAAGTATAAGTTTAGAATTTTTTTTGTCAATTGATAGATTTACAAATATCAAGACAATTAACATTTATTGAAGTTTCATACTTCTACTTTTTTGAAAACATTTTTCAGCAAGTGTGACACTTTTAATATTATATTTTTATTACTGCTTAAAACTCCAAAATCACTAAATTTTGAAAGTATGAAATTTTACGATTTCTAGACTAAAAAAAGTGTGATGGTTAACTGCTATTGCTTTTACATAGTTTGAATTTATGTAAAAATGTAGAATTTTACACTTTCAAGCCCACAAAAAGTGTGAAATTTCTCCTCTCTTTCTCTCTTTTCTTTTCAATTTATATAAGTAAGTTCCAACAATATAAATTTTATCAAAACTTTGTACAATAAAAATTATGAAATTTTAAGACTAAAAAAAATAAATAAATAAATAAAAAGAAGAAGAAGAAGAAGAAGAAGAAGAAGAAGAAGAAGAAGAAGCAGCAGCAGCTAATGGCATGTCACTCCTTCTAATCTCTACTTGTGTATAGATTAAGGCATATACCTAGAAACCTAATTTTTAATAAAGGAAATTATGGTGCGTACGTGACTTAAGGAATTATTAAAAAATTGTTATAGGATTGGATTCCAAGTCCTATTACTGAACTTTTTGTTAAAAGACCCTTATATTTGTCAAATTTAATGTATTTTTTTTTATGTTTGAAATTAATTTCTTACACAATGGCCACCAAAAAAAAAAAAAAGCGATAGTAAAAAAAAAAAGATACGCGTCCATCACTTCCAACTATTAGATTTAAAAGGCATACTTCATGCCATCAATTATAACTATGTTTTTATCATACCAAAAGTCAAATAGACAAGCTAGCAAATATCTTGATTAGCATTATGTTAGGTTTGACAATTTTTCCCCTACTATTGTGTGAAACACAAAACAAATATACTTTTGTCTAAACACCAATTTGAAATTTAAATTTAACTGCATAAAATAGTTCTACGATAACTAAAAAAATAATAATATACCAACATAATTTTTATAAGTGGTGCTACATATATTAATTAGTGTACTAATTAATGTATTAATACTAATTATGACATTATTATTGACTCCACTCATTATACAAATTATAAATATCAAAAATATCTGAAATTATGTCACATCGTTAATTGGTACATTAGTTAGTGCACTAATTGATGTATATAACATTAGTCAATTTTTATATAGAGATTTGTTTTTTCTTAAGCTGTCATTTTAACTTGAAAGAATGTTTAGACTTGATAAACCCATTTTAGAATCGATTTCGATGATCCAAACTGTTTACTTTTTAAAATTTTGTGGGTAGAATATTTATGTAAAAAATCAAGATGATTAGATATCGGTAACTATATATTTGAATTATTTTTACTTTTAAAAAATAGACATCAAATATAATTTCAAAAATGACCATCTATCTTTTGTAATATAAATTTAGTTTAAATATATAGCTACTGATGTCTTATTATTTTAATTTTTTGCATTAATATTCTCATGCTCGACCTTGAGATTTCTAAGGCCCAAAGCCAATAATTAACTAATAAACATCACTAGATCATTTGGGGCTCTTCACATATATATTTTTTTTTTCATTCAATGAAATTTTTTTTAAGGTAAAGGATAAAAGATTTGTGTCAAAATTATAAAAAAATACTTAGTATTACATTACAATAACTAATAAGTATCACTTAATCCCCCATCTTCTTGTATTTTTAGAAGCAAATAAATCAATCATATTTTGCATAATCTAGTTGTTTTTTAAAATCATTTTCAATGGATAACAATACTAATACATTCAATATTTCTTGTGACATGGTTGATTAAAGGTAATTTTTGATCGTTTTCAACTTAAAAAGCTTATTTCCCTTGATGCAACTATAACCGAAATAGTCAAAAAGTATCCTATAAGCAACTCATGAATATGGGAAAACAATTTGCCATTAATTGCAGATGATTGAGCACTTCAATTGGTTTATTGACTTCTTTTGAATGAGCCTTTTAAATTTTTAATGGGTCAATTTATTTTAAACTAGTTTGGGTCTTCTTTAATTTATTTTGAACTTAAAACATACATAATATATTATATTAAACTATAATAGGAGAGGGTCCTTTTTTAAGTCTATTTTGAGGGGTCCTAAGTCATGACTTGGTGAGCCTATATCCCGGGCCGACTCTAAATACTCTATTCAACGAATCTTAAAAAATAAATAATTTAGATTATTAAAACAAAACTTATGATAAACTCCACAGATCTCTTAATTTCTTTCGTGTTAAAACTCCATTACGAGAGTAGCCCAACTCCTTATGTAGAATAATTTAGTTTTTTATGATCTTCTCATTTTTAATAAAAGAAATCTACTAGTATTTTCATTATTTTACAAATGTCAGTCACATAATTTTGGATGTGTTTTGTAGCGTAATAATTGTACAATATTCATCCCATTAAAAATATCATCACTAATAATACTAATACATTAAAAAAATAAAAATAAAATAAAATAAAATATAATTTCAAAATCAAAACATTACATCATTAATAGTAAGACTCACTGCCATCTAATTACCTAATTAGTGGGAGCACTAAATAGCGCTTCCAAGCATTTTTCATAATTGTATTGCAGCACTTCCTAAGGTGAGGTTGCGACTTTAACTTTCATGGAAAAGAGTTTAATATTATTTGTAATATTTACTTCTCTCCCATAATAAAAGTTGAAAGTAAACTATAAAGGATTATTGAATTATTTGTTAACTTTCTAGCTATTATTGGCCATGGCAAGTTGAGTTTTAGCTTTTCTTAGGTTAAAATTTATAAAAAAAATAAAATAAGTTAAAATAGTAAATAAGATTTTAAATGTCATATTAAATCTATAATCATTTTTATTTTTTCTCTCACAAATATCACATCTAACTATAAAAAAATTTAATTATATTCTCAAATATAAAATTTTTTACCTACTAAAATAGCAAAAAACTAAAATAACCAATTTTTCCAACAAGACCATTGTGATAGTGGTCATTTTAATATAATATTTCTCTTATTTATAATTACCCTCTTAGGATATCGATTTTAAAAAAATAAATAAAATAGCCCTTTCAACTTTTAAAAAATTCAAAAAATCACTAACCAAATCAATGCCAAATTTGCATATTCACCACAAGAACTAAAAAAAGAAAAAAAAAAGAAAAAGAGTGCTTTCGAGTAATTTTCCAAGTAGAAACACCTGTACGTACATAACTAGCCAAGTGAGAAGCGACTTGCCAATATTTAAATTTACATTAATTTCTGCTTCTGATTTTCATATATTTACATTTCGACCCCTCTACTCACTCATCAAAACCCACCCCCAACTTTCAGCTCTCTCCGCCCGTCATCTTCAAACACAATCCAACCCCCTCTCTCTCTCTAACTTTTTCTCTCTCTAAAATTCTCGAGGAACCGTTACTTTGCGTCTCTCGTGTCCCAAACGAGAAAGCAAGCTCACATGACACACCCTTCAATGGATTCATCACAGTTCTTCTTCGCCGGAGAAGCCCATTTCTTGCCTGAGAATCGCCATTTCGATCAAAAACCTTTGGAGAACAACAATCATTTCACCATTGAAGACTTGCTCGATTTCCCCAAAGACGAAGAACTCATGACTGACGCCTTCTTCGATAATGTTGCCGGAAACTCCACCGACTCTTCCACCGTCACCGGAAACAGCTGTAATTCCTCGGTTTCAGGCGGGGAAACTCAGGTTTCGGGTAATATTAGCTGCCGCAGCTTCGCTGACGCTCAATTATCCGGCGAACTTTGCGTTCCGGTAATTTTCTAGGTTTAAAAATGTTTCCATTGCTTTGAAACCTAGTTTTTATAGTTTTTTTTTTTTTTCGGCTTGATTTTCTCGTATAATGAAAAATTTTGTAATTTTCTTATCATTCTGTGAATAATTTGAGCTGAATTTGCTAATTCGAATAACAAATTCCTCTTATTTTCTCAATCCATTTGCTACATTCAATTTTTCGTTAATTTCCGTATTTTTAAATTTTTTTTTATAAATATTTAATTTTGATACATCTAGATTTTATCTTAAAAAAATACTTTATCAAAATATTAAAAAAATATTGAAAAATAAAACTAGATAAGAAAGAGGGTTGAATTTTGCCAAATTTATTGAGTAAAAAAAATGTAGAAATTCATGTAAATTTAGCTTGAAACTGCGAATATAATTCAATAAAGTTGAAAAATTCATGAAATAATTTGAAATTTTTTGAATTGTTTGAATGAACAGTACGAGGATTTGGCTGAGCTTGAATGGCTCTCGAACTTCGTGGAAGACTCGTTCTCGAGCGACGATTTGCAGAACCTCCAACTGATCACCGCCACAACAGCTCCGATCGACACCTCATCCTTCGAAACGGTACGCCCTACCACCGAGTTTCGGTCCGAGACTGGCCCGGTATTCCCAGCCGACGTGGCAGTCCGAGGCAAAGCCCGAAGCAAGCGCTCACGCGCCGTCCCTTGCACCTGGGCCTCACGCCTCGTCGTCCTCGCCCCCCCGGCTATCTCATCGCCGGAACCAAACACCACCGTATCAGCCAAAACGACGCCGTCGAAGAAGAGAGACTCGGGTGAGAATCCGGGCCGGAGGTGCCTGCATTGCGCATCCGAAAAGACTCCGCAGTGGCGGACCGGGCCTATGGGCCCAAAAACGCTTTGTAATGCGTGTGGGGTCCGGTATAAGTCGGGCCGGTTGGTGCCCGAGTATAGACCTGCTGCGAGTCCGACTTTTGTGTCGGCAAAGCATTCGAACTCGCACCGGAAGGTTCTGGAGCTCCGGAGGCAGAGGGAGGTTCAGATGCAGCAGCAGCAACAGTTTTTAAGTCAAAGCTCGATTTTCGGCGTATCAAACGGTGGTGATGAATACATGATTCATCATCGTCATCATCAAATTGGTCCTGATTATGGTCACATGATATAGTGTGTGACGGAGTAGCGTATTAGGGTGGAAATTTTCCTAAGTTTAACATTTAGTTTTCTAATTTCGGGATAATTTCAGTTTTCCATGAAAATTAAAAAAAATCGAGAATTAGGACCAAAAAAAAAAAGAAAAAGGGAGGGAGAAGATGATCAATTCGTTGTAGACTTTATCATGTTGTCTAATTTTTCTTTTTCTTATTTTTGTTTTGGAATTTTTGCTAAATTTGGCAAATTAATCAAATTCCATTTCTTCAGATTTTTATTTATTTATTTAGAATAAATGCTATATAAACAGAAGGAATGAGCTCCCCTAAATGAATTAAAATGTGTTGTTTGGGCTCGTGAAACATATTTTAATGATTTGAACCGTTTATTTAATAAAAATTTTTGTGTATATTATTTATATAAAAAATTAGATCAATCTAAAAATTGTAATATATTTAATCTATTGTGTTTATCACTAAAGCAAATAGATGGTCTATTTTTAAAAACAAATTAAACTTTTTTTTTTTAGATGAGTGTGATAAATTAAATATGTTAGAGTATCTCTAATGTTTTTTTGTTTAAAAAAAAATCAAATTTGAGTAAAGATTTAGGTTAAAAGTTTTATTTAATACTAAGCCTCCGTTTGGAAAGTGGGTTGGCTTTTTGGCTTTTTGGCTTTTTTGGCTATTTTAGCCTGGGCTAAAAAGCTTGGTTTGGGAAGGGCTTTTTGGCTTTTTGGCTTTTTTGACTTTTTTTGTGAGAGAAGAATGTAATGATTATTGGTTGGATGTGATGTTTTGTTTGTTATGGCTAAAATAGCCTATTTTGTTTTTTGTGGCTAAAATAGCCAAAAAAGCCTGGAAAAGTTCTTGCCAAACACAGGCTAAGTGTTTTAACGTTAAATTTTTAATTTTCATCAAATAACCGATCGATCGAGAGGATATCTTGGCAGGCGTCCAACCTATAGTGTAAATTTTCTTCAAAACTTCTCCAATCTGGTTGTCTATCCAATTGTTTGGCTAGTCATCTATCCAGTTGACCGGCTAGTTATCTATCCAGTCATCCATCAACGGTCACTTGCGAAATTTGATAAAATGTTAAATGCTCATTTGATTTGATGAAAAGAGTAGGAATCTCTTTATTTGATACCAATTTGGTGAAATAGTTGAAAACATAAAAGGTGAGAAATGCAAAAAATCTATTTTTTTTATGAATAACAAATGAAAAAAATCTAATAAGTTGAATGATTTAAATAATTAAATTCTACAAGCTCAGACAACATTCTCTTATTCAAATCATGAACCGAAAGTGGGAGACAACTCCTAAACGGAAAAAGTATACAAAATAACATGAGCTTATCAATTTAAAACAAAGTGCACCTATATAATTCCTGAGGTTTATATTTCATAACAAATTACCCCCTAATTTCTTATGCAAATATAGCATTCAGGGGGGAATTCGTAATTTCTCAAACCTCAGGGGGGTATCTGTAATTTTGTCAAACCTGGAGGGGTGTATATGTAATTTGCCCTTTGATAAAATGTTAAATGCTCATTTGATTTGATGAAAAGAGTAGGGATCTCTTTATTTGATACCAATTTGGTGAAATAGTTGGAAACATAAAAGGTGAGAAATGCAAAAAATCTAATTTTCTTATGAATAACAAATGCAAAAAATCTAATAAGTTGAATGATTTAAATAATTAAATTCTACAAACTCAGACAACATTCTCTTATTCAAATCATGAACCGAAAGTGGGAGACAACTCCTAAACGGAAAAAGTATACAAAATAACATGAACTTATCAATTTAAAACAAAGTGCACCTATATAATTATAATTACAAAGATGTCATTATTACATTGTTCTAGTAGATTGATAATATTATTTTGTTTTATTTAATTATGGTGAAAGTAACTATTTTGCTTGAGGGGAGAGAAATAAAAGGTGAGAAAATTTCTGTTGAAAAAAAAAGTAGTTTGCACATAGCAATCATGGAAACAGTGGAGCACCACTTTTTTTAATGAAAACAATGGGCCATATTTATAGAAGAGTCCCTGTGACCATATCATCTCAAAAGGTTGACATTTGCACATGGAGAGCTCGTGGGTTCATTATTATTATTTTTGTTTACAAGCCATGGGCTTTGCTATCTTCTTTATATTTAATTAAACCTAAAATCAAATTATATATTTTCATTGCCAACTTTCATTCACAAAATTCTCAGTCAACTCCTCCAAAATTTTAAAATTTTTAATTTGCTTGTTTCATGCTAAACTAAAGAATATAGTTAAAAGATAATAGAGAAAAATAAATGATATTTACATTTTATTTTGCCTTTAAAACTCTTAAAAGAAATATATAAAAATTAAATGTCAATATTATTTTTCCAAATAAATGTTCACATAAAGATTTGAAAAAAATTAAATTTCAGTAAAAAAAAATTACTCAAAACAATTAGATTTTTGTTGAGGTGTAACTTGGGTGAAACTAAAAATTGCGTCCCGTATCACAATTTTCATTAGCATCAAATACAGATCAACTTGTAGCTCCATAAGTAGTTACAATTATTTTGAATTCTTTCAATTGAAATTCAATTTTTTCTAAACAATTTGATATTAGCTATGTTATGATATTAAACTTTTTCTATAGAATAAGATACACATGTGAGATATAAGGTGTGACTTCTATTTATGTTTCACTATGTAAAATTATATATTTGTTTTATGTTTACTCAATTCACATTGGCAAATGGCTAAGCAATGCACTTTCCATCTCGGCATTGAGGAAGGAGGAGTAGGAGGAAGGGTAGTGATTCATTGACCCTGTTGAGTTTTTATTCCCACTAGAAAGGAGCAAAAAATGGAGAGTGGTGTGGAGTTTAGTGATAGGTTGACGTGTTTGGGTGTTGAGAGAGAGAGAGAGAGAGAGAGAGAAATGAACATCGTGTTTTGTACGTAGTAATTAGTAGGAAAACCTGCATCAAAGTGCGTATAGTAGAATCAATGTGGGAAAAGATCGAGAAAGAGAAAGTTACTTAGAAAATCTGAAAGAATTTTTTTAAACAGGTGTTACATGTATTAATTAATATAATAATATATATTATGATATTATTATTTTAAAATTATAACTTTATTTATTACATAAATTATAAATATTAAAAAAAATTTAAATTATGATATCATTTATTAATATACTAATTGATACACATAATATTTTTCATTTTCTTTTCCTAGTTTGGGAAATGGAGTAGGAAGAAGGTCATTATGGCACAGTTATGATATTTAAAAATAAAAATAAAATTTAAATTAATTAATTTAGTTGGGCAAAGCACATTGGGGCGTAAAATTTAAATTAATTAATTTAGTTGGGCAAAGCACATTGGGGCGATATAACTGTCCACCTGATTGTAGACATCTGCTCTTCCATTGGCCCTACTTCTATTTTTAAAATCCATATCTCCAATGTTCTTTTACTCCTGTCTTTATTTATTTATTTTTCATAATTTGGTGTCTAATCTTAAAAGATCAACTAATTTGAGGATCAATCTTACTGGAGACGTAATAAAAATCAATAAAATCGGTCCAACTAATTGAAATCGACCAAAATTTTAGTTTTTAGTATGTTTTTCATAACATACCGTTTGTTTTAGTTTTAAAACTTTTTATACCGATGCAAACTGAACCAACTGAATATTATATTTAAATATTTTTATGTTATAATTTGTTGAACATTATATGACAAGTAACTAATATAATACACTTTTGTGATAAAAATTAGGGAGAAAAACATTTATAGAGCAATTTTAACATATTTTTTCCATTTATTTTCAATGTAAAATTCTATAATTTACTATAAAACTTTTAAAATTTCATGTAAATTTCTCTTCTATATCAAACTGATAAAATCGATAAGACCAAACTGTAACATATGGTCTGTATAGATTTCTCAATCATAAAAATCGAAAAAAATCAATTCGATACTAAATATACTCTTAACACCGACCGAACCGAACCGTTCACACCCCTAAATCTTACTATCTACTAAGGAGGAATTCAATTAAAATCGGGACAAAATTCCATATGAACTAACTCTAAAAAATTATTTGTACTCAAGAGATTTCGAATCTAAGACTATAAAAGAAGCACACCCATTAATGTGTATATATATTTTCTTTTTCGATGAGTATATGACACCATTCACTAAATTAGTGATTTTTTTTAATAGCCAGTCTAATATTTGGATTGGAGGGTTTGGTTGACGGTTGTACTCACCTCGTTGATTAAAATTGTTCATTTTTCAAAGTTCCCCAAGTAAATCATGTCATGCTTATAAAGGCTTTTATTAGAAAGTAGGGGAAAAAAAAAAACAAACAAACTTATTAGTTTATTTGAGTCACATTACTTTTTTATTTTTTTGCACAGTTTTTCAAAAAAAATCATAAAAAGTCCATAACCTACTTTTTTTCCTACTTCCCAAAACAAGCCAAAAAATCAAGTTGATCTGACATTACTAATCATATAATTGGATCACATTTATCTTTAAAATGTATGATCCCAAAATCTTACTTACAGTTAATTTTTTAAAGACAAATGTCATCTAAAATGTAGATATTAATAGCTAATCAATCTACTCCAACATGATTTTTACGTAGGTGGTATTTTTGGAGGCATAAAGTAAATGATATACGTTTATCAAGGTGGATATAAAATACTCCCAGTCCCCTCAACGAAATCCTCTAGTTCAATTGTCTAGTTAGAGGGAAGCCTATCTCTCTCTTCTTCTTTTTTTAAAGAGAAAAATAATAATAATAATAATAATAATAAATTGATTTTAGTAAATTCCACACTAAAATTGGACTTCACTTCTAATTGGCAACACCCAATTTAGTTCTCATTTGATTTGTGTCCGAGAGGAATACATTGGATATAGACTTGATCTATGGTGAAATTTGCACAAAATGACTGGACTAAAATGCGAACCCAAAATCTCAAGAATAGCTACTTAAGTTTTAACCACTGAATCAGTGGACACTCTGATCACATCAATTTGCAAGTTAAATCTCCAATGCTGTGTTTGTTTGGAGAATTTAGGGAGGGATTTAGAAAGGGAAACAGAAAAGGTGTGTGAAACTAGGTGAAATATAAACATATTTTATTCACATTTCACCTACCTTTTCCATTTCCTTTTCCAAATCCCTCATCAAATCTCTCAACCAAACACAGCATAAGTCTAGTCTGTTTCTCACACCTTGCACACATTTCTCTATCACCCTCACATAGTATTATATACTTATTGTATATAGCATCTCTTAATCACATGCACTATAATAAATTAATTTCTAGTCTTTACACTTGATACCAATTAATTTTGGAAATTTTCTCCAAAATTGTTACATTACATACTTTTTTTTTTAGAGTAATGTTAGAAACCCACACGTTTATACTTACAAATTCATTCACAATGATATAACAAGAGAGTTGAGCCCTCAATTATTAAATGTGTAACAAATCAAAACTCATATTAGTGGGTACCCATCCCCAACCCATCCCCTGTGGATATTTAAAGAATATCACCTACCCTACCCAATGGATAAGAAAAAGAGGGGAAAACCCATGTATTTGGGTTGGGTCTCCATGGATACCCACAGGGTAGGTTATCCATTGCCATCCCTAAATGTTAGAAACCCACACGTTTATACTTACAAATTCATCCACAATGATATAACAAGAGAGTTGAGCCCTCAATTATTAAATGTGTAATAAATCAAAACTCATCTCTTTTCACATTATTGTGGATAGAATTGTGTGAACTCTTTGAAAATCTCAAACATTTTTTTTTTTGGTGCAACTTTATATATGTTTGCCTATATATAAGTACTTGAAAGTACATTGTATGTACATTAATTAGAAATATCAATGTGGAACTCACTCACTCAGTGTATGCTTGGATTGGAGACATTTGTGTGTACATTACATGTGATGTGAGGGGGACTTTGGGGGTACAGTAGACATGCATGTGGAATATGGATAGTGGGCACATGCACACTACGTGACATGCATCACTGTTTTTATTAAGCTTCTTTATTTTTTTATTTATATTACTTTTTGTTTATTTTTATTTTCATTTTTTGGTTCTGTATAGTATTATCCAAAACTCTGAGCATGGCAGCTGGGGAGGGTGTCAATGTCTGTCTAGGGATCTTTCCATGTTACTATTTTGAAATTCATGACAAGTTTCAATTATTCTTTATTGATAATTCCTGCATATAATCCTGGGCGGTAGTGCAATTGGCTTGGGGGAGAGCACTAAGGTGTTGCCACACAACAAATTGGCGTGGATTCGACTCCACTACGCGAGTCTCAACTTAAATGGAGTTTGTATTGAGGGGTCAGTGCAAGCTTTGAGATTATATACTCTTATTTAGAACAGACAATAAGATACTTTGGTGATCTCATCATGGATGCTACTTTAGACTTGCGGTAAAGATGTGAGGATTTTCCTGTAACAAAAAAAAAAATTTCTTGTAGATTACTTTTCTTTAGTGAAAAGATTGTTAGTGTGAGAATTATTAGTGAGGGGAATAAGAAAAATTGTATTTGTTTGTGATATATTTTAGTGAGAGATTAATTATATGAAATATCATAAATACCCTTTGGAATTTTTTTTAAAAAAATTATATTTTATAAATATTTTTTGTACTATGTTATTTTAATATTTATATATATATATATATATAGATATATCAAATATAGTTAGTTCACTTTGTAAGTTCAAGATGTTTTGAATTTTACATTTCTTAACTGCATATTTTGAGTGGGGTTTGTAAGGTTTTGGATTTCGGTAATATGCTATAGCTTTACTTTTAATTTGGATCGAAATTGACAGGTTTGAAGCAAAGTTCATCCAAAAAGTTGTTGAAGAGATTTCATGTAAACTGAAACGTACATTCCTAGAGGTTGCTGACCACCCAGTTGGAATAGCGTCTCGTGTTGAAGACATCAATTTGTTGTTGAGCATTGGATCAGATGATGTTCGCATGATTGGGATATACGGCTTGGGTGGAATAGGCAAAACGACCATTGCAAAAGCTGTGTATAACCGTATTTTTCGCCAATTTAAAGGGAGTTGTTTTCTTGCAAATGTTAGAGAATGTGCAGGACAATTCAATGGTCTATGTCAATTGCAAGAACAACTTCTCTTTGAATTATTAGGGATAAAGAATCTAAAGATTGGCAGTGCTGATAGAGGAATGAATTTGATAAAAGAAAGGCTCCACTCTAAAAGGGTACTCATTGTTCTTGATGATGTGGATCAATTAAGTCAATTAAATACCTTGGCAGGAAATCGTGATTGGTTTGGTCCAGGAAGTAGAATCATTATAACAACTAGAGATGAGCACTTGTTGAAGGGACCGAAAGTTGATGAAAGATACATGGCTAAGGAATTGAATCACAAAGAGTCTCTGTAGCTTTTCACATGGCTAAGGAATTGAATCACAAAGAGTCTCTGTAGCTTTTCACTTGGCATGCCTTTGGCAAAACTAATCCATTAAAAAATTATGCAGACTTGGAAATGGTAAGTTATGCCAGTGGGCTGCCACTAGCTCTTGAAGTTTTGGGTTCTTATTTGTTTGGAAGAAACATAGTAGAATGGAAAAGTGCATTTGATAAATTACAACAAATTCCTCATGAGAAAATTCAGGAAAAACTTAGGATAAGTTTTGATGCACTAGATGATGACAACATGAAGGATATCCTCCTTGATATTGCATGCTTTTTCATTGGAATGGATAGAGACTATGTCATTACTATATTGAATGGTTGTGGTTTCTTCGCAGAAATTGGAATTAGTGTTCTGATGAGTAGATGTTTACTGAGAATTAGTAAAAACAATAAGTTGATGATGCATGATCTACTTAGGGATATGGGGAGGGAGATTATTCGTGAAAAATATCCGAATGAGCCTGAAAAGCGCAATAGATTGTGGTTTTAAATAATAAATTAATCATAAATAAGTGATGATACAAAATGATAATAAAAAATCAAAATCGATGATATATATTATTTATTTATAAAAAGTGCTAAGAAAAGAAAAGACCAAGGATTGATCTCATGTTAGCCTTGAATCAACCCATTATTAGGTAACTTTTGGTGGTTGAAACTTTTCCATTGTTGGTACTATGCATAATGATACATCCTTCAAGGTGACACTAGCTAATTGTTTCACCCTTTTTCTATTTGGCTTTTTCTCTTCTTTCATTAAAGTGGTGAAATAAACTACCAAAAGCCATATGCTAGTGTGTGAGTGAATTTTTGATCACGCTGTCAACTTAGTATTAAGTTGGAGAGTACTGTCAAAATAGATGACGCCTGAATGACCTGCAACAGAAAGAGAAGATTCCGGCGGTGGTTCGTCCACCCGGGAGCACTCCACCGATCAAATTAGTTATTTCAAAGATAATCAATAGTGCTTAACTCACTATTCAGAATATAAATTGTATACTTTTGACCCATGGGGGTGCCTCTCTTTTATAGCCAACTCAATCCTAATCCCAACAGAAGTCTAGCTTCAATGAACTTTAACTCAGTGCCTATCTTGGACTCTCCAATAGATAAAGATAAACTCCCTAAGAGTGTTATCATTATCCATGCTGAAGTCAATCCTCATTCTAGGACTCGTGTGCCCTATCTGCTTATCTCGGATTCCGATATCTTCGGAGGTAACCTCGGCCTAGCCGAGATAACCTCGGCATCACAACCAGGACACGTGGCACCTCGGCTGACACGTCGGCGTCACCTTGGCCACGTGTTGGTACTCAGAAAATATATCCCCACAGCTAGAATGGTGAATGAGAAGATAAGTGTGAAACCAATCTTTAAAAATAGAAAAATGTTTGGTGGCCTGAATTCTGTGGCTCAAATGGCTCGAATATGTCCAAATGACATCATTTTGCACCCAAAACGACGTCGTTTTGGGTGTTTCGAATCATTCGAGCCATGTATTTTCGGGCCACCAACCATTGCCGTTAAAAATATAAATTCGGGAACTCCTTCTGTACATACGCACCAAATTATGCATATGTTTAGGAGTTGGGGGTTCCTGCAAGGCACACCAGGATGTTGTGAGACCTATTGAGAGCGTGTCCTGAGTCTTTTTCAATGATTCGAACCATTTATATTGTAAGATTTATCGAATAGATCATCGATGCAAAAAATTAAGTAAACAGGACATCTGTAAGGTAAGAGCACTTTTGTTTTTCAAAAAATAAACAATTAATATGATTATAATAATTTTTATAAAACAATTAGGACTTGATCATGAGGTTATAGATATCCGATTAACTTAATTTTTTTTACGGATGATACACTTGACAAATCTTACAATATGAACGGTTCAGATTATCAAACCACAGTCAGAAAATATCTCTACAGGTAGTGGGGAGCTAAAAAATTAAATTAAAGGAGGCACTTATTAATTACAATATCGAAAAATTTTACAAAAATATTTCATGCAAGTTTTCAAGATTGATTTTGAGAAACATCAAAAAAAAATAATGCTATTTCTAACTAGTGTATCATGAACAATACAAAAAAAAATATAGATATAAGTCTTAAAATAAATTATATATTGATAAAAAAATTTATATAAAATTTGATTAAAAATTCAATATAATGGTAATACCACATCATCATTGATATGTGATATCATTAACTAATAATACATAAACACATAGAGAGTGAACCTTACCTGTCAAATGTAACTAACAATCCAATAAATTTCATATCTTTATAGTGAGATTACTGATACTTGCATGTCAATAATAATGACATTGCCGTTACATTCAAAAACTTTTTATAGATAATATAATTTATAATAATCTTTTTATTTTGAATTAAAACAATCATTATTGTTCTCATAATTTTTAAAATGTTGTTGTCATTTTACTTTAATAATATTTTTGTAATTTTTTTTATTTAAAATATTTTCTTTATGTTTACAAAATTTTAAAAAAAAAAAAATTCCAAAATCCAGAAGGACACATGGCTCTCCTGGCCTTCACTCCCTCCGCCACTGTCTACGGGACCTCACAACAACAACCCTCAACCCATATTTTTAGTGTATGTTATATATTTTTGTGATAAATATTACGTAATTACAGTAATGATAAGTAATTTTGTGATAATGTTTTACATTTTGTGATTCACAAATATTTTGATGAAGAAATACGAAATATTATATAATAAAAAAAATGCATAATTTCAACTTTGAAAGTAACATTATCAAAAAAGAAAATAATAATACGGAACATATACCAAGAAAATATAATTGGATGCATATACCAAAGAGATTTCCTATAAATTCTAAGGTTGTCATTTTTTTGAGTAGTAAAACTTGCCGTTAGCATGTCCGGTGATGCAAATTCGGGTTACAGAAGGAATTTCTGTATAGGGTCTCACACATGACCGTACTCTCCTCCACAAAGATGTCACACATGTGCAACAATTTTAATTATTTTGTCAATAGTAAACTTCGAACACAAACTTTAGTATTTGCTTTGATACCATGATAAAACTTTAAAACAGTTATATATATATATATATATATTTGGATAGGCTTAAACCGGTTATGTTTAAATGAAGGATTTGAAAAGAAACTGTATAGGTGATTTTCTGACCACACTGTCCGCTTAGTACCAGCTGGAGAGCACCGGCAGAATAGATGGCACCTAACTGACCTGCAACAGAAAGAGAAGATTCCGGCGGTGGTTCGTCCACCCGGGGGCACTCCGACGATCAAGTCAGTATATCTCTCAAAGATAAATCAAGTGCTAAAACTCACAAGCTTGAGTATCAAAAGCATACCTTAGACCATGGGGTGCCTCTCTTTTATAGACCACATAAACCTAGTCCCAATAGAAGCCTAACTTCTATGACTCAGGATTACTGCTAATCTTGACTCCCAGTAAGATTAGGATAAACTCTCTAAGAGTCTTATCTTAATACAACTGAAAGTCTTCTCTCTATTTAGGACTCTTGTCCCTCATCCAGGTTGAGTTCCTTTTCATTCTAAGACTCTTGTCCTTATCCACTTATCTCGGATTCCGATATCTTCGAGATAACCTCGGCCTTGCCGAGATCACCTCGTGTCACGACCAAGACACGTGCACTCGGCTGACACGTCGGCGTCACCTGCCACGTGTGTGACTCAAAAAATATATCCCCATAACTGCCCCTAGGTTCTATTACCTCGGCATTTCGAGATGATGGAACTTACACTGTTCATTCATTTGCCTCTGTCTGAGATCAAACTTGCCGACCTCAAAGTTCCCTGGACTTTACTGTCCACTGGTGTCAAGAATCAAGTTTCATGCTTTCCAAGTTGCTTGAAATCGCACCTCCTAGCCGAGGTTCTGGTTCCATTAATTCGTAAACTCCAATAGCTTTGCAACTGCTCCACTCACACTCTCTGGTGAGTTCCCGATTTCCAGTCATCTATTTGACTCCGGCAATTTTCATATCGGCGTTCATTTCACTTGGTAGGTTTATAAACTCTTTACTTGCTATTAAGCTCGATCTTTCATAATTCTTCTGAATCTGTTTACTTGCCATCTGTTGCCTTCTATTTTCGTCTCTCTTCAAATTTTGAATTGTTTGAATGTCTGGCACTGTTCTTGTCATATCCGCTTTCTGTTGCTAGCATCGTGTCTAGGTCATTACTTTCTTATTCTTCACATACTTACTTAGTGCCTGTGCACTTTATTCTTGAACTTTGTCGTCTTCTTGACTATTTTTCTCTTTTTTCATTCAATCCTCTGGCTTTTTCTCTTTCTAGCTCTTTTGCTTAAATCCGTCATTGTTCCAAGCTTTCAAGCTTCTGCAACTGTTTTCATTCCTCTCCTCCGGTGAAGCTTACGTAATTCTGTCATTGTCGTCAGACTTCGGCAATTCTCATTTCGGCTTCCCTCTTTCTGGTAAGCCACTGTTCCTCCTGGTTTTATTTCTTATTGCTTTCCAAGAAGCTCTGTTTCATTATTAATCACCATTACTGTTTTACCTGTTGTTTCCAAATCATCTTCTTGAATACATACTGTTCACACATCTGTTGATTTCTGCCACTGTTTTTGGCTTGACACACTTGTGCAATCTTTTTGTTTTGATTTCCTTATAGCTTCATCACCATTCTTGATTACAAATTACATTCTTGTTTCTATTTTCTGTGTCTTTTTCCAGATTCTTGCTTTCGTTTCTGTTTTCTGTATAGTCTTAGAACCACGTCCCTTCTTAAAATTGTTGCCGAGATAATGGTAGAGAAGCTCTCCCAGCTAACTGCCAATGCTGAACCACCGTCAACCGTTGAAGTAGGTTAGTCCGACGTTCTTACCCTAGTCCCTAGTTCTTTGGGTCTTCATCTTTGTACTTTTGTTTTCTTTGCATATGTAACCTTTTTTTGCTTTTGAAAAATATCTGTTGTTGGCCGATGTTAACATTCTTTGCTCCTTGATTATCATTCCTTCTTCCACTTTATTTGATAGCCATGTCGGGTAATTGACTTCTCGGATGGCCCTGGGCTCCAGAAGTCTGTCTACTTCTTCCTCTACTACTTCGACGTGCATAAACGTTGGTCCTCTTGCTCATTGGATTACAGGTTTGGCCGACCTATCGACATTTAGTTGGTGGCAAGTGACCTCGGGGTTAATGCTAGACATTTCGTAAGGTGTCCAAGCAAATACCTCAATGTTTGCTCTCAAAAAAGCTTCCAATTCCCTTTCTTCTTCTTCAGCTAAGCCTGAGCCGAGAAGAAAAAAGCGTTCTTCATCCCCCTCCTAGACGAGGATTTTCCTCAGTGCCTCTTCACTTTTCTTCGCTGGCTCCTTGCCGACATCATCTAGGACCTCTATGTCCTCGTTTTCAATCTCTACCTTCTCTGGTTCTCGAATGCTGCAGGTGGATTTCATTGCTGACATGGAGCAATTCTCCGCCTGCAGTTGATCC